CGGCAGCACGCCGCCTCCTCCCAGGTATTATTAGCCCCGGGAACAGCACAGGGACGGAGCCCAGAGGCGGCAGCTTGGCAGCAGCGATGGGGAGCAGGAGGGAAGGATGTCCCAGCGCCAGGCTGGAGAGCCCCCAGCTCCCCCCCAGTGTCCATCACCGGGACAGGCTGAGCCCCACTGGCCCCACAACCCCGGCAGCTCCCAAAAAAGTTTCCTTCGCTCCTTTCCCGAGGGAAGCGGCGGGACGCCGCTCCCTCTCCTGCAGAGCCCCATTTCTGGAAGGAAACCGCAACCCTGACAGCACCCGAAATAGCAGGAGCAGGCGCGGGGCCCGACACCCTAAACTCATCCTGCTTAATTTGCTAATTGGGCCATCAAGAACAAGAAGGTGAGGAGGGAAATGAGTCCACCTCCAGCTCATTTAGTGCAGTAGCACAAGGACCAGCCCCAGGTCGGACGATAACCATCCCCGGGTCGGACGATAACCGTGCCCCAGGCACGGCGGGGAGCGGGGGGCGAGAGCTCCCCCCCACCCCCCAAACACACTGCACACCGTGAGGTGAGGCGGGACGTTCTTCCTCACCTTAGCAATGCTCGAGTTTTGATCACGACTTAAACGCGCAAGTGAAAAGCCTTATTTACCATCCCTGATTTCAGTCTTGTTTTGCAAGTGTACTTTTAATTCCTTCGCCCCAGAAAGGCTGCTCTTGATGGCTGCAGCCAGTTGGAACACGTTGATTTGCAAGCAGAGAGCCTATGCGCTAAATTTAGTATTCTCCGCGCTTTTAATACTTTATGTAAATATGCCTGATGTGCCATTGATTTATTCAGAGCCTTGGTTTTTGCACGTTATTACATGACAAAATGGCGAGCAACGCTGCTCCTTCACCAGAGAGTTGTCATTTTGGATTTGCTCAGAACAACACCGGGCTTTCAAATAATGCATAGAAAGACAATTTAAAGCGAAACCTTGCTCGGCCTGCCAGATGCACGGGGAAAAAGAAAAGCAGCACGCGCGAGGAGCGGCACCGCGCCGGGCCTGACCCGCAGC